TGCCGGTTTAATTGATTTGGTTGGTGAGGGTGAAGTGTGGAAGTGGAAAAGTAAATTGGGGAAGTGTGAGAAGTAACGGGTGACGGTTTAATATGGTGAGTTTTAGAGGTAGTGGGATTTAATAGGGTGAGTGACGGTTTAAGGGTATGAATTTGGATGTGTTTTAATGTAAGTGATAATTGCAATTTTCAAACTTAACAAAACAAAAGATAAACTAAAAATTCGGAAGTTAAGGAGTAGTGGGTATACAAGCTCCTTATCTTACGGTGAAAATCTTTTTGTATTTTTGAATTTTATGATGAATGGAAAGATTTAAAGCAAGAAAATAAAAGATAAGAATAAGGAAAGAATAAAAGATAACAACAAATAAATTTGAAATAAAAGAAAAATAATGAATAAAAGATATGTACAGATAAATCGTAAATTATGATGATAATTTACGTGACCAGAATACAGAGTTTATGATTATATAGGAAAAGGGAACTTGAAACAACACGGCTCATAATTTTCAACATATAAACAACATACACAAGTGACTTTTTAATACTGTCACAAATCTTCCCCCTGGGTAATTTGAACTGTGTTGTTAGGAACTTCAGCATGTTCATGTTCATCATTTTCAGCAACTCGAGTAGGCTGCTTTCTGGGAATTGATTCTTCATCTTGGTCTGTTGAACGAGTGAGGCCAATTTCAAAATCTCCATCTTCATATTCCTGTATACAATCATAGTTGTTAGTTTCATCAAAAATAACATGTATACTTTCTTCTACACACATAGTTCTCTTATTGTATACTTTATAAGCTTTACTATTAGATGCATATCCTAAAAAGACTGCTTCATCACTTCTTTCATCAAATTTTCCAAGGTTCCTTTTATCATTATTGTGAACAAAGCATTTGCATCCAAAGGCTCTTAAATGAGCAATATTAGGTTTTCTTCCTTTTAACAATTCATAAGGTGTCTTGTCCAACATTGGTCTAAGCATGGCCCGGTTGATGATATAGCATGCTGTGTTGACGGCTTCTGCCCAAAAGTTCCTTGGAAGCCCACTTGCTATTAGCATCGTTCTTGCCATGTCTTCCAATGTTAGATTCTTTCTCTCAACTACACCATTTTGTTGTGGTGTTCTTGGTGCTGAGAAATTGTGACTTATTCCCTGTTCCCTGCAAAATTCAACAAACTTGGAATTTTTGAATTCCGTGCCATGGTCAGTTCTCATATGAATAAGTTGATTACCTATTGATGTCTGGGTCTTTTTCAAGAAGGTCATAAACATATCAAAAGTTTCATCTTTACCGTGTAAGAATATGACCCACGTAAATCTAGAATAATCATCCACAAGAACTAAGACATATCTTTTTCCACTTCTACTTTGAATTCTTACGGGGCCACACAAATCCATATGAATGAGTTCCAATGGTTTTGTGGTGCTTACCATTTTCTTTGATTTAAACGATGATCGAATATGCTTTCCTTTAATACAGGCTTCACAAATTCTGTCATTTAGGAACTTGATAGAAGGTAGTCCAATTACCAAGCCCTTTGACCTTAATTTGTCAAGCAGTGAAAGACTAGTATGTCCAAAACTTTTATGCCATAGAAGCGGATCATCCTCAATAACACTCAAACAAGATAGATTGTATTTTGGAACTTTGTTAAGGTCCACGGTATACGTGTTCCCTTTACGAGTTCCTTCCAAAACGATTTTTCCAGTGTTATTGTTGATGATTCTGCATTTTTCAGAAGAAAAACTTACAGAGTTTCCTTTATCACAAAATTGAGAAATACCGAGTAGACTATGCTTCAAACCCTCGACTAAAAATACATTGTCAATTGCATGGGAACTTGACCTTCCAACTTTGCCAACTGCAACAATGTTGCCTTTCTTATTGTCTCCAAAGGTCACAGTTCCTCCTGTATAGGCCGTCAGTGAGAGAAATCTAGATTCATCTCCTTTCATGTGCTTAGAACAACCGCTATCGAGGTACCACTGGTTGTTCCCCCTCACTACGACCTGCAAAAGACATCAAGGGTTAATAGCAGGAACCCCTTCTTTCATGGGTTCCTGTGTTGACACAGTTGAAACAGATTTCTTCTGCCAAACAAAATTCACTTTTTTATTGTACAGATTAACTTTCTTAGTACACTCTTCACTACGATGTTCCTTTTTACCACAAAATGAACAGACAATCTCACTAGGCAAGTCCATGTACTTCTTTTTCTTTCCATTGGACTTCTTCTTGTGGACATAGCCTAGACCTTCTTTTTGTTTGAGCTTCCTGTACCCATTTAGGAACACCCATGCTTACAGTACTTCTACTTCTTCTTGCAATTTCTAAGTCCTTTTCTAGTTTCTCATTTTTATCATTGAATCCTTTAACTCTTTCTTAACATGTTCTAACTCAGTATTGAACATAATTAAAGGAACTTCAAGAATCAATGTTAGTACACAACATTTTATACTGAGTCAATTCAACATTCAACATTATGTTATCACTCTTGGCTCTTTCAAGGGATTCTTTTAACATGATATTTTTATCCAATAATTCAAAGAATCTACCTTGCACATCATTTCTTGAGTTATTCAAGTACTTGACATGATCTCTACAAATTCCAGTGGCCTTTTCGGCTTGCCTTAGTTTTTCACATAATTCTTTATATTCATCTAAGGTCTCTAATAACAGAGAGATCAATTTTTCTTTTGAGAGAGATTTCAAATAACTAGGTTGAATGTTTACCTCATCATTATGTTTCGCCATTAGACAGAGATTGGCTACTTCATCATCAGTGTGTTTCGGTTCCTCTTCTTTGGAACTCGAGTCTCCCTGCGTGGAAATCATAGCTTTCCTGAAATTAGATTTAGAAAAGTTAGGTTTTGAGTTTCTGCTTTGATCAGCTTCTTTTCCTTTGCCTTTCTCAGATTCCCATAAGGGACACTCCTTGATGAAGTGGTTGGTGCTTCCACACTTGTGACAAGAGGACTTGACTTTGGAATCTTGATTTCTTTTACTGTATCCTTTCTTCTTGTCTGAAAACTTGTTGTTACGGTAGAACTTTTTCAGCCTTCTCACCAACATTGCAGCTTCTTCTTCATCAATGTCAGACTTCTCTTCGGATTCTTCATTGGCATTCAGTGCTAGCCCTTGACTTTTGATAGTCTCCTGAGTCCGGTTGTTCAACTGGATCTCGTGGGTAATGAGGGAACCTGCAAGCTGTTCTAGATTGAACTTGGTGAAGTCTTTTGATTCCTGCACAGCTGCAACCTTTGCTCTCCATCTGTCATTCTCTGGAAGACTTCTTAAGACCTTTCTAACCTGCTCATCTATAGGAATTATCTTACCAAGACACGTTAGTTCGTTAGTGATATTCTTAAATCGAGTGAACATGTCTTTAATATATTCTTTGTTTCCCATTTCAAAGCGCTCATACTGAGATAAAAGAATATCAATTTTGGAATGTTTAACATCTGACGTTCCTTCATGCGCAACTTCCAGAAGATCCCAAATTTCCTTTGCGGACTTGCACCCTTTGACACGAGTATGTTCATCAGGTCCAAGTCCCCAAATTAAAAACTTTTTGGCAGTAGCATTCAATTCTAGTTTTTCAAAATCAGTTTTCTCATATTCATCCATAGGCTTAGGAATTACCTCATTGTTTGCGTTTGTTTTAGTAATTTCGTAATCTCCTACTTGAATAATTCGCCATACCTGATAGTTCTCTGATTGGACAAAGATTTCCATCTTATCCTTCCAATAAGAGTAATACTTGTCGTTGAAATATGGAGGCCTTTAAATGGATGAACTCCCGAGTTCCCTTTCCTCTGCGTAAGCCATTTTCCCAGGAACTTGCTCAACAGGGTTGCCTGCGTTTTCTGAGTTCCTGCTCTGATACCAACTGAAAGTCTAACTAGCTTCTACAAGAGGGGGGGTGAATTGTAGAGTAGGTGAAGTTTACAACTTTTTGCGGAATTTAACTAAGTAAAACAGTAAAGAGAGATGATGTAGGCTTTTGTAAATTTCCACTATGTTAATAAACTCTTTTACAAGTGAAGATTCAAACCCGTAACAAGTTCCACAAGATTGGAACTTATTCCCAACTCTCACAGAAACTTCGACTATTTAGTTTCCTTAACCTCACTGATACAAAACTCACAATCCCAAACCCCAAGTACTTGATTACAAATTGTAATTACAAATACCTAGTACACTCAAGAATACAAGAACAACTAAGAACTCTCTTACGTTATTTTGTTTAGTGGAATTATTGAAGCTCAAGAGGTGTGTTTTTGCAATGCATAGGTACGCGGTTTATATAGAGAAGTTTGATCATTAACTTCCATACTGTCCACTAGCATGTCAATCCCCACTAACTAGTAATGGAGAATCGTGACAGTGGACTAGATAATGGAAGTTTCTCAAACTTCTCCTCATCCTACGTACCCAACTATCTTGCTGAAGAATAGGTCAAACAAAAACTGTTTTTTGAAATATTCATCCAACGTTGTATTTGACTTGTTCAAATATTCTGTTTTAAAAAGATTTTCTTTAAAAGATTTTATTATGAAAAGATATTTTATAAATTATTTTATTTAAAAACTAAGATAATTACTAATATTAAAAAGATAATTATTTATTTGAAACTAGATTAATTTATAAAATATATTTTCTTAAACAATGTTATAATAAATCTTTTAAAACGGTTTTTATTCCAGTAACTTTATTAATAACGTGAGTCATCGAATTCCTAACTGACGTATATTTTGAGTGCTTACATTTCATAACTAGATCGTAAGATTTTGCATGAGGCCTTTTGATGCTACTCCGCATCATTTGTATCAATTTCCTACTCCGGAACGAACTGCTTGAACCCTTTATTCACCAAAGACTTAAAAGCTCTCGTTAGTCAAGTTTGTCGGTTTGTCCATCAAAACCAAAAGGGTCAACAAGTAGCTAGGAGAAGGGTTTCGAGTTTGGGTTTGGGTTTGTGGCGGGGTAAGTGGTGGCGGAGGTGGTGGCGGCTAAGTTGCAGGCTGATTGCGAGGGGGTGGCTAAGTTGCGGGCTGGTTGACAGGGAAGGAGGGGGTAGTGGGGCGGGCTGGTTGATGAGAAAATGAGTTAGGCTGACTGTGAGGTGAGGTGGTGCACGGTGGTGGCAAGGTTGAGAGAGGTGAAGGAGCCATTGTTAATGGCAGGAAGTTTGAATAGGGGAGAAGGAAGGAGGGAAAAATTAAGGAAAATGAAAAAAGTTACCTAAAGTTCAAGTAATCGGTCAAATAGGCTCGGTATAAGAAAATAAGTATTATCTCCATTTCATATTTTTTGCAACTTTAAAATATTTTATATCTCACGAATAATACGCTAAAAAATATGAAACGGAGATAGTAATAAACTAGATTATTCATTGTTAATGGAAAGGATTATTTTAGGATAATTCTTGTTAAATTTTCCGGTTCAATATCACAATTTATAAAAAAATAAATAAATAAAATAATAAGCATTTGTACGGTCAAAAGCCTTGTTTTACTCAAAATATCACCTTTTCGGAATTCCAAAAAAGGAAACCTCCTGCCAAATTCTCTCCTCTCTCTACTTTCTCTCTCCTCCATCTTCTTCACTCAGAAAGTGAGAATTCTCCGAACGAAAATGGCAACGACGTCGTATTTCTCATCACTACTACTCAGTAGTGTAACCTCGAGTTCACTCAATTCAACTCATCGGAAAAGTGTCATTTCTCCGGTTGAATGCGGTTCAATTTCGGGTCAAAATGGGCCGATACGACTCAGAACTGGTTCCGGGTCATCAACTCGGAGGTGGGCTAAGGTTGAAGACAGAGGAGAAATATTGGAGAGTAATTGTGGGTTTCCTGTAGATATTAATGATGATGATGAACAATTTGTTGTTGATTCTTCTAAAGAGGAGGTAATTTCTTGATTTTAATATTACGTGTTTGTGTAATCAGTAATATGTAATGCGACAACTGAATCCGAAAAGGAGGTAGTAGTTGGTGATGGGTTTGATGATGTTCTTTGTTTTGCGTTTGATTTTTATGTACTTTGTTAGAATTGTTTGGATGAGAATAGAATTAAGTAGTTCAAATCTTGGTTTTGATTGCAGATGAAATTGTTGTTGGGAGTTATATGAAATTATTGGTAAATTGTGCGTGTAGTCTTTTGAATATGTTCATAAAAAAATCAAAACAAGTACTCTTTCCATTCGGATTTAATAGTCGTTTTGATAGTGAATGCGGAGAAATTTGGTATGTTGGGAGAATATGATAAATGGGTTTGTAAATGAGGTGTTGTTATCTTGGGTTTGATCTTGATGTGTCCTAGTATAATAACATTTGTAGACATTTGATGATTGATGGAGGGGTTTGCAAGAGCATGTAGGATTAGATTAAAGGGAACGAAGGAGGTACGACATGTGGGGGATCACAGGGTTTATGTAGCCGGCCCCGTCCTTTTGGATATAAGGCTTTGATTTTGTTGCAATGAAGAGTCCTCCCAGCACTATAAAAGTATAAAGCTAGAAGACTGATAAAATGACAACCATTTAGAACGTAGTGATACTGGAATAAGAAATTCAAGATTTGGGAGGTAAGTTTCTTTCTTTGTCCTTGACCAAGGTTACATTGGATAACATGTTAACATAGCAATGTACTTTTAATATTCTGATGATGTATCAGTTGGATGCATTACTCCCCCTTTTGGTGTTTTTTATAACTTTGTGATGACGATCTAGTGAAATTGCTTGTCAATTATGGATTTTTTTTTTTCTACTTTAAACCCCCCTTCATAATGGACTAAGCATATTCCCAGTAAAAGAGATTAGATTATTGTCCTCGAGTACTGAATTGTAGCCTAACAATTCTTCTATCAGTTATAGTATTCCTTCTTGTTTCCAGTTAGATTTTTATGTGGAGCACCTAGCCACCCTATAAAGTCCCTTGAAGTGTATTCTGTTCATCTTCTATACGAAGTATATCATAGTCTGACAGCTCTTCAACTGGTTCTCAAATCTAATTTTCTTGAATATATATTTTCTGCTTTCAGGTTGTAGAGACAATCCCAGAGATTCCAGAACGTGATTATGCTGGAACACCTTATGTCCCTGTTTATGTGATGTTGCCAGTAAGTTTGATTTGTCTTTATTTCATATATCTCTGAATACTTTGTGCTTCTTTTCATTGCATTGCTCAACTCAATTTGTCTATTAGTCTCCCTAACCCCTAGTCCCTAGTTCCACTTGCATGTAGGCTTCTATTATTTTTATCACTTAGTCCTATTGTTTAATTTACCTCGAGTTCATACTTTCTCCTGTAACAGTTAAATACAATTGACATGAACTGTGGGCTGGTGGATCCACAAAACCTCATCGAGCAACTAAAAATCTTGAAGTCGATTAATGTTGATGGTGTTATGGTTGATTGCTGGTGGGGCATAGTTGAGGCACTTGCTCCTCAAAAATATAATTGGAGTGGTTACAAGGAATTGTTTCAAGTCGTGCGTGATTTTGGACTTAAATTGCAGGTATTCTATATTTCCATGCTCTTGTGTGGTTATGTACTATGAAGGATATGTAGCTCATGATTCAAGCTTCATTTCTGACTTTATGATCCTTCCTACTGGTGTTTTTAAGACTAGTGGAATTCTAAAGGCTTGTCATGGTTACACTTCACTGCTTCATAGGTCTTTAGATACATATCATTAAGCAATATTCAGTTTTGAGTGAAACAACGATTTTTTTTTTTTTTTTTTTTTTTTTTTGTACATGCCATCTAGTATTATTCTTGAGTAAACTATACTTCAGCTGTTTTGGCAAGCTTGTAACTAATTCGTTGTCATGTTAAATGACGGTTGTTTGTAATGCTAATTTTGAGCAGAAATGAAAACTGTCTCAGATCATGAGATGCTTATCTCCAAGAGATTAGGGGTACCTGTGTGCTTATTTGGGACTTATTTACGGGTGAGGAATGGAGTCAAAAAGCTTCTTGCACTAACATGCAACCTTACCCCTGATAAAAATAGATTGACTAGTAAAGTAGTAATAGATGACACACAATGAGAAATCTTATTAAATCAATAGGTTTTTAACTAAGAAATCTTATTAAATTAATAGGTTTATATATCATCATCAAAGGATTTGTGCTCAGATTTTTTGTTACACCTTTCATGAATTTTACTTGCAGAATTTCAAATAGTTGTTCTATTATAGGTTGTTATGTCTTTCCATGCATGTGGAGGCAATGTTGGGGATGATGTGCATATTCCTCTCCCTCATTGGATCACAGAAATCGGTCAGAGTAATCCTGATATATATTTCACGGATAAAGAAGGTAGGCGCAATACTGAAAGCCTTTCTTGGGGAATAGACAAAGAGCGTGTTTTAAGAGGCCGTACAGCAGTTGAGGTAACACAATCTATGGATATATTAATGGCAGTTTGCTTCTGTATTTGTTCATCTCTTAGTACAATACATGCACTTTTATTCCCTTTTTTAGGGTTTAGATGGAAAATGTTTTTTTGGTAATCTGTCTATAGCCCAAACTTAGTTACAATCTCATGGAAATTGCATCACAGTCCTATGTTAATTAAAATACCATAGTCTACTGTGAACTCCCTAGTTTGGATGGATTTGTGAACCATATTTCTGAAATTCTTCTGGGTGACACGACAGGTTTACTATGATTACATGAGAAGCTTCCGTGCGGAATTCAACGAGTTCTTTGAAGGTGGAACCATCTCTGAGATCGAGGTTGGGCTAGGTCCATGTGGGGAGCTACGTTATCCATCCTATCCTGCAAATCATGGCTGGAAATATCCAGGCATTGGTGAATTCCAGGTAAAAACCTATCTCCATACTATAAATAGTTTTCTACATAGTTGCTTGCCTGCATATTGTTGAAAGTTCTCATAGATTCCAAATATTCCCCGTCCCAACAGTTTCTGAATGCTTCAACTGTTGCAACATGTGCAAGGACATATAAAAAAGAAGAAATTTAATAAATAGGATAATTCAATTCATAAATAGGATAATACAATTCATAGCGCAGAAGAAGTTGCTGCTAGGATATTCTTAAAAAGGATAATACAAAGCATGGTATATACTGAAGAAACCTGACATGAATTAAAACTTGCCTTCTGCAGTGTTATGACAAATATCTAATGAAGAGTCTTCAGAAGGCAGCTGAAGTGAGGGGACATGTGTCTTGGGGCAGAGCGCCTGATAATTCAGGTTCTTATAATTCTTGGCCACACAAGACAGGTTTTTTTCGTGATGGTGGTGATTATGACAGCTATTATGGTAGATTTTTCCTTAATTGGTATTCTAAGGTTCTTATTGATCATGGAGGTCGTGTACTTACCCTGGCCAACCAAGCCTTTGAAGGCTTCCCTATTGCTGCAAAGGTGAGGAAGCAATGTTTTAGGCCTGATTTACAGGCATTTATGATTTCAATGTGCTATCTACAGTTGAAGGTTGGAATGTTCTTTCATTACTGAAGTCAAGACTTTTGTTTGGTGCGCAGCTGTCAGGAATTCATTGGTGGTACAAGACAGCCAGTCATGCTGCTGAGCTGACTGCTGGGTTCTACAATTCTTCCAATCGTGATGGCTATGCTCCGATTGCAGCAATGTTGAAGCAACATGAAGCTGCTCTGAACTTTACATGTGTGGAATTACGCACAATGGACCAGCATGAGTCTTACCCAGAAGCACTAGCAGACCCTGAGGCGTTGGTTTGGCAGGTTAGCTCATAGTAGACTTCAACTTTCCGCTATCAGTTCCTGTGAATCTATGATTATCTAGTGAGGTCAAGTGACCTAATGAGACCATTTTGTTTTCTTTTCTTCCCCTTTTTTCTTGATAAGAGTGTATGTTTTTCCTCCATTTGAGATGACGGTGAGATCATTTATGTAATAATGGTCTGGTGCATTCACAAACTTAGAGATTTCTTGCAAAGCCCTACTATATTGCTATGATTCTTCCATCTCAGCCTTAGAAATCATCCCAATGTGATTGTTTGGATCCACTTTTCAATAACGCTCTGCTATTGTGTTTGAATTCAAATTTTATTGTTCTTTTTTTATTTTTAAGTTTTAGATTTTGAGAAATGTGGTTTGGCAGAAGCACTAAAATCATATTTTGATGACTTTACTTTTGGTCATTTTGTTTCAGTTCTCTGAAGCGCAATTGTTTTCTTTCACAACGAGAAATCTTTAACGTTTTAGACATTTGTGAAATCTGTAGAGTGTAGATCCCTAACAATTATTATTTTATTTCAGGTCCTGAATGCTGCATGGGATGTGTGCATACCAGTTGCTAGTGAGAATGCTCTTACTTGTTATGACAGAGAAGGCTATAACAAAATATTGAAAAATGCTAAGCCTCATGATGATCCTGATGGAAAGCATCTATCTGCTTTCACATATCTCAGACTTAATCCTGCATTAATGGAAGAATACAACTTCATGGAGTTTGAAAGATTTGTCAAAAGAATGCATGGTACAATTACAAATCCCTTCACTCGCATTTCATCAATAGATTCACACTCAAATGCACTGATCTTCCCTTTTTTGTCAAATATTGTTAATAAAATGAGAACTACCATGAAATGGAGTTTGATGTTTTAAATATTTTTTCAGGTGAATCTGTCCCAGATCTTAATTGCCCAAGGGAAATATCGTTACCTGAAAGTCAGGAGGATTCTCAAGAGCCAGAACCGGAACCTGAAATCAAACTTGAAGGTGTCTAAGTGGCTACTATGAAGAATAGTAAATCAATCACTGATCTTATACAGCTACATTAGTTGATTTTACCCCCAAGTTGTATATCTCTATTTTTTGTATAGATCATAAACTACGTAGTTGACATTATACGACTTGCTGAAGTGCCAAACATGTATAGTGATTTGTCACATACATAATATTTTTTGTAGCTTGCATCCCTTCTTTATGGGACAAATTATAATCCCAATTCATTCAATTTTTACCATTAGTTGAATTTCAGGAAGTCTCTCACGTTGGTGGTGCTGAAGTTGCGTGGAAAATTTGAAATGAAATTACCTGAATCTCACTTTTTTGCCAAATCTGAAGTTCCTGCAACTCCATTCTGTCGAGTTTCCAGAGAACTGCTCTTTGAACAGGCTGATTTCTGGCTGTCCAAAGCTGGAGGACATGGTCCTTGAAGGTAGTTGGGAAGATGTCGAAGCTATAAACATTTCTTCTCCTACTGTGAGAAGTTTGACCTTGAATTTCGAGGAAGTATTTATGTCTGGCAAACATAGAACTAATGTTGTGCTCGATCTTCTCAATCTGCTTCATTTTAATTATGTGGATTACTTGGCAATACATTACAGCATGAATTTCAATTATCTTGTGGATGCTCGCATTGACATAGTGTTGGACTTAGAAAACTTAATGCAAATATCTGAGGTTTTCTCTGATTCTATGGTAGAACTCTTACATGGAGTCTCTAGTGCCAAACATTTGTACCTCTCTGGAAAGTGCATGGAGGTAACTCTTTTAACTCCTTTCTTATTTATTCATGGTCAATGTAAATTCTTATCTATTTTCTTTGATGGGTTTATGTAGGCTCTCAATTGTGGTCAACCTAAGCTTCCAACCTTCAATAACCTGTCTTGCTTAAACCTGGTTTGACAAGATTTGTTGACTGGAGACGTGTCCTGCCTGAGCTTCTGCACAGCTCGCCCATGCTTGATTATCTTGTCTTTCCTGGGGTTAGTGGCCTGGATTTCTTTTGCATGTATCATTTGACATTAAAATTCCAGTTCGTTTGCTTAATCTTCTTTCGCTCTGTCAACTTGTTTAGGGATTTCTGTATCGTGAAGATGATGATATTATGATGACAAATACTTCTGGGGCAGATTTCAAAAGCCACCTACATGTCTTTCCACTCACCTCAAGACTATTTTCATCGATTCATATGATGGCGAGTTCGATGAAGAGCTGAAGATAATAAAGTATCTTCTCCGAAATGGGAAGGTGCTAACAAAGCTGATGTTAGGCTGGACAAGGAGATCAGAAAAAGGATACAAGGAAATAAAGAAGTTGTTGAAGTTAGGAAGGTTGGCCTCCGGGGAATGCTCACTTGCTGTGATAATAGACTAGTCTTTGCAGCCCCTCCGTTATCATTGATTTGTTTTTTTTGTCAACAGCAGCTTCGATTAGTAACTAAGTGCAGGCGCACTTATGGTCTGATCTTTTGAGGTTCTTGCATCCGGTGCAGGTGAACCTGAGTTTCTATTAATATGGAATGCTTATTTTGAACATGTGGACAAAAACTGTTTTTCTTGTTGTATGCTATTGGTATTATGAACTTCTGCATCTAGGTGAAGGTGAGTCTTAGTCTTTCGAGTCTATTGCTTATTAATGATATAAATGTTCTATGGCATTAGACATATGGCTTTATTCTTTTGATGTGCAGTAGTGCCTTTTTGCTTTGTTCTAAGTTCCTATATCTTACTTATCTCTGTATGAAATTGTTATTCAAAGAATATACCATTTGGAAGGGTTAAAAGGCCTGCAAGGCTGCAAGTGCAAGAATCTAACACGGAACAATTAACATGGATGAGGGTTTGATATCCATAATTATGTTATGCAAAACTTCAAAACCTTTCTAGAATTTGTCAATCTATCAGCTGCGATGAACAGGACTTGTTTCTGAAGTGTCTTCCTGTTTCTGAATTCTGACTGACCTAAGACCAGAGATTTCATTGCGCTCCATGTTGTTTAGTCCAAATTGCAAACTCGCCTAATGTCTGTCAATACGCCTCTCATCTTACCATGCTTTGTTAGTGTCGTCTTCAAAGCAGAATAACTTAACAGTCTTACAAATTAATCATTTGTGCTAGTATAATGTATGTGCATTGCAAATCAGATCAATCCAATTATTTCGTAGTGATGTTCTTGGTTTTTATAATTATGGCTGGTATTAAGTACACTTTTCAGATTTCAGAATCTACACGAAAATTCAGGACAATTTGTTGAAGCTGGAGTTCTGTTATGCATGTACAGAATGTTTTCAGACATTTAGTCATTTAGCTAATTCAGATGTAAAGATGTTGATCATTGCTTCATTTTGTCATTAAAAGAAGATAATTCTACTCTGAAAGCAAAAGAAAAATAATTCAGAACACAGGTGCCCTTAAAATTGTACATTCAATTAAAGATAATTTCCAGTTTTACAATATGATTAATAGTACATGAGAATAAGAAGTTCTTAGATCTTCCCACGAGGTCCGAGCTTAGGAGGTTGTTGAGGACCCCTTGTGATGGGTAGCACATCGGGAGGAGCGGTGGCACTGACGTATGTGAGCAAGGAACCACCTCCCAATATCAAAAATTTGAGCAACAATCCTCTCTTGGTGAATGGAGCTGCAAATGTCTCAAAGAATTTGCTCTGCAATAGGATGCACAAATCATTTACATACAGCCTAATGTAACCAATTCCTAGTCTTTAATGAGTTAATGTTAAAGATTTCGAGTGTAAGATAGTAAAGCTTAGAAATATGCACATCTTAAATCGATCATCTCTACTACTTCTAAATCTACCACAAGTATATGACAGTCAGCAGTCTCATTAAAACATAGAGTATATAACATTGAACAATATGAAAATGAGCAAAAAAAACCGAGTTAACATTACATTATGTGAATAATGTGATGAACAAAACCTCTTAAACCAGCTGATAGCTATTTCAATCTTAAGTCTTAACACAATCGTTGCTAGCATAATCAGGATCAAAGAATATCTAATATATGCGAAAAAAGTTCATTACATCAGCACTAAGTTTTGCCTGTTCTATAGAGCAGTTTGATAGTAACTGTTGTACAATGACACACAGTAGTACTATTTCCATCTTCCGTCTAGATTTAGTTGTCACAAAAATGGTTCAAATTAGATTTAGTTGTCATAAAAATGGTCAAATTACAATATCAACGTGACAATTAACTTATGAATGGGGTTAGGAGCTCTTTACTTGAACACTAATTGTGTGACATGTGAACATAGAGTAAAAAATCATTAAGAAAGTGAAAATAAACCTGAAGAGAGTTGTAAGGTGAAGGAGCATCTGATCCATAGACATCCCATTGACCAGTGGTGTTAGCTATATCTTCCAAATCAAAGTAAACACTCTTGTCACCATACTTAGCAACCACTGCACCACTCCTGTATGTTACCACAAAATTACCATTTAACATAAAGTAATCATAATTATTATTTATAAGACTCATAATATTTATTTGTTACATGAGTATTTATATTTAGTTACAAGTTTGTTACGAGTACTGTCTAAATTACACTGTCAACACGACTATTAATTCCGAATAAAGAGAGTATTTACCTGGCGTTTTTGAGCTTGAAGCTCTGGCGGGCAGGCTTGATGTGAAGCTTAGTACCGGTGATGGAACTTCCGGCAAGGCCCTTGATGGTGGTGGGCTGTACGGCAGCCAAGATTGCTAGAGAAGCCATTAAATTGGGTATGTATGTGTTTGTACCAAGTGAAGATTTTTCTTTTTTTCTTTCTCTGATTATCACTTGGCTAAAATTAGTATATAGCCAATGTTAAGTTTTTGTGGAACAGAATGAATCTAAGTTGTCCACGTGGCATTGCTGATTTTCTTGGGATAGATATGAACTCCTACCAGGTTGTGACACTTGGATTTTGAGCTGGATAAGGCTATCTAATTTGATTCTCCTTGCTTTGGTTTGTATTTTTGCTTAGGTTCTTTTAAATGAACTTATTAAAAGATTTAATTTTAAAGTTCAAAGATTTGGATATCAACCAATGGTGGTTTAAACTTAAAAGTCAGAGTATTTCAAAGACAAAAAATTAATATCGTCTATATCATTATCTTTTATGACTCTCTATATGCCAAAAACAAAAATATAGTAAAAAATTAAATATTAGAATTAATGATCATAACCCATAACGACATAAAACTAGTTAGGATAATTACTTTGACCTCTAGCGACTATTTCTAGTCCTCTATAACTGAATTCTACCACCACAATCATTTGATATATTTGCATTAGACATAAAACAGTAAACACATACACAACAATTATGCAAAGCCATGATGAGTTCAAACATATAAATTGATTGGGCTTAAAATCGACGGTAATTAGGCTAAGCCTGAATTAGAACTTATGAATGGCTTGGGCATAAAATCGATGTTATTAAAGCTAAGCCATGAATTAGACAATTTTATGGGTTGAAATGCGGGATCCAAACTAATATGAAGTATTGATCATCTCTTATACGAGTACTCCGTATATACTAATTGATGACTTCTTGACCTAGTAGCAAAGACTAAGAAGCTATGTACAATTGTACAATAGATCAGTAGAATTAAAACGGGTCGGGTTAAAATATGTTACCGGATGATTCGACATTGGTGCATTGACTTTGCCTATAGCCCACTACATATAAAACTTGATTCGAACCATGAAACTAAGTACCAGTCCAGCCCACAACAAACACACACTTCCTGATCCTCTTCTTCTTTCACCCAAACAAAAAGATGAGGTAATCCCCTCATCCTCAATCCAAATTTCCAACAATGTCTCTCACTTTCTCTCTCCTCAAACCCCCTCTCTCCTCATCCAAACCCACCACCCCATTCCTCCATGGCACCACCAAGTTCTCTCTCCTCCCATCATTCTCCGCCCTCTCTCTCTCCACCCCACCACCCTCCTCCGCCACAACTTCCACCTTCCCAATCATTAAAGCCATGAGATCAATGCAAGGCAAAGTCGTCTGCGCCACCAACGACAAAACCGTTAACGTCGAGGTTACTCGTCTCGCACCCCACCCCAAATATAAGCGTCGGGTCAGGAAGAAGAAGAAGTACCAGGCCCATGACCCGGATAACAGATTCAAAGTCGGTGATTGGGTTCAGCTTGAAAAATGTCGGCCCATTAGTAAAACCAAGACTTTTCTTGCTGTTTTTCCTGAAGGTAGGCAGCTTCCTGGGCCCAGGCCCAACCCCGTTGTTGCTGATGCTGATGCTCCGAATGAACTTGGGATTCCTCTGGAATCTCAGGCTGGTGAAGGGGATAAGACTGTGTGAGTTTAGGTTTTGAATTTTGTGGTTTTAGGATGTGTTTGTAAGGTGTTTGCTGAAATGCCTGACTGGAGATTGGGGGGGTTTTGGTTCAATTGTAATGATAACATTTGTATGTTTTTCTACTGTCTAAAATGTAAGATTTTGTTTAATTTTGTATTTTTTTTCCAGTGATTTACTGCAGTTTCTTTCAATATGAAATGAGTATAATAGTATATAGTGTTTGATGAGAATCTAAGTACTGAACATCTTGAATTTTATTTTTTATTTTTCTGTGATAATACTGTATGTTTTATGTTAATTTTGAATATTCTATTGAAGTTAAGGCATTGTTTGGTTGACACAAAAAAGCAAAAATAAAAAAAGTGGAAATTCATGGGAATTACTTAGCCCCCAGGATCAATCAAAATTCAATCCATGGGAATTACCTAGCCCCCAATATCAATCAAAATTCATGGGATTTCTAAATTTCCACGTTGCCAACCAAACAAATTTAGAAAATTCCTAGGAATTTCATTAGGGAATAACTTCCCATGAAATGCAATTTCTATGGAAATTTAATTCCCATATCAACCAAACAAGGCCTAAAAACACAATATTTATGTATACTCATATATTACTAATTACTGAAAGTGAGGGATAGCTTAATTGGTTAGAGCTTCCTTCTTGATCGAAACTATATCAAATGCTTTCAATCTATCAAATTAAGTGAATTGAACTTTCAAAGGTGGATATTTTTCGTATGCAGATTTTGGTGATCATTCTGCGTATTTGAAACTATGTCAAAGCGTAGTATTTTAAAAATAAAAATGCTCTGGCTTGATAACAATGTTTTGTAAAGAAAAACCAGTCAAAACTTGAAAAGATCAGATCATATTGTTATGTAAAGGAATGGAAACCAAGTCAAAAACAATGCATTTTCATGTTGCAAATAATCTGATCTGATTCCATTAGTGCAGATTGAAATGGAAAAAGAAGAAGAAAGCAAAGAATTGCTCGACTAATGCTGGGAGATGATCTTTGATCGTCTCAAGTATAAAAGCGATCAAGAATCAATCAGTTTAGTCTGCAAGAGATTCCTGTCAATCACCAATTCCTTAAAAGTTAGCATAAAGTTCCCAGAATATACTACAATCTCAACCATCTCTAGGCTGGTCCAACGATTCCCCAACCTTAAGCAGAGATGGTTCATTGACTTCCGAGGAGACCTGAATGAAGCTGTTGTTGCAATTGCACGGTCCGGGTTGGACTTGGAAGAGTTGTTGGACATGGCACATGACCGGTATCAGCGAGCAGTTTGGTTAGAGGAGCTGGGATCAAACATGAAGAATCTGAAAGTACTGAGGTTTGCAGGTGGAGAGGGAGATGCTGATCTTGTCAGGGTAGGGTAGCAGACTCGTTCCCTCAGCTCGAGGAACTGCATATCAGGGACCGTTATAAGGATGATGATGGTAAAATCATTGTTGCGACTGATAAAGGGATAGATTATATGTCATTGAAGCTCAAGAGATTACGCAAGATAGAGCTTTCGGATAAAATATATATTACAGATAAGTCCCTTGTTTCACTGTCAAAAAACTGCCATTACTAGAGGAAATTGCAGTTAGTGATTATGGTTCTGTCACAGAAGAAGGAATTTCATTCCTTGTTAACAATAGCCATAATTTGAATTCATTATACCTATCTGCATACAAGATTAAATCATTCGGTGTCAAAGGCTCTACTAATTTCCTAACCAACTTACGATCTCTAATGTTATCAAATGTTGAAATATCGGATGAGTTTCTTGTTTCTATAACAGAAGCAAGAATTTCTCTTTCTTGCTTGATTCTAGCATTTTGTGAAGGCTATACGTTTAGTGGGATTTCAAGGCTCCTACAACACTCTTCACATTCTCTAAAATCTTTAGCCTTGGGGGGTGTAGAATTCCTCACAGATGAGCATATAGAGTACTTGTCCTCTTTTCTCCAAAACCTGACATCAATTAAGCTCTGTTGTTGTTCCAATCTGTCTGATTCAGCTTTTGTTATGATCACACAAAGATGCCCTCGTCTCTGCCATTTTGCAATGACTGGTTCAAGCCTCGGAAGAGAAGAATACACATATGATGGCCTATTGAAGAAGAACCGTGCAATAAAGTACTTGGACCTATCATTACATAAAAACTTTAGCCCTACAGCTCTGAAAAGGCTTCTTAACGTATGTCCCGAAGTGGAGAAGCTAGATCTAAGTTATTGTTTATTCTTACTCCACGATCAACTGAATGTTCCTGATATCCTTGAGTGCAACAGGAGCCTTGTAAAATTGGATTTGACTGGATCTGATCATGTGAAAGATTACGGAAAAGACATGGGAGTTACAGCTCTCAGTGTTAGAGGAGTTGATTGTGAGTGATTCAGGGATAAATGATAAATTGCTTACAAAGTTAGGGAAGATCAGCCCTAGATTGATTCGCCTGGATCTGGGGGGTTGCAAGAGTGTGACAGAAAAAGGGGTTAAGGAAGTGGTGAAATCGTGTAAATGACTGAGATACTTGAACATAAGTTATTGTGATAAACTGGATATTAACATAATAGCATGGATACTGACCAACAGATCATCCCTGAGAAAACTGGTCTCTTTAACATCATATCACAAAGACCAAGTCGACGATAACCTGAAACTCTTCCTGCAGCAAGGCTGTCTTGTCCTCAAGGATACAAACTTCTTAGAACTATGAGTTGTTTAGTAGTACTATGTATAAGGTAGAGTTTGAAACTGTATTTATTGTAATAATTAAGTACACTAGTAGATTGTATTCGCAATTTACTATGTCCAAATGTTTAATTTCCGCTTTCATGGTCAAAACTTGTATGAAACTCCCATTTCTTTTATTCTGCTGTAAATTTTACCTTGCCCTGGCTTAAATTTGAGGGTAATTCTGTTGATTTTTAAGTTATAAATGCAATTTACACAAGAAATTAACAAGACAGGGAACTTCCAGTTGGCAGTTAAGTAACCTGGTGCTTTACAATACATGTAACATTTTAAAGGGTACAACTCTGTGAAAGAACTAAATGAGTGAATTGCAGACAATTAAAATTTAAGCAGAGACTAGTGCCAAAGTTTATGGCATGTAATACAGATCTTGAGTCTCAGTATCCTGAATATAATCTCGGTCTCATGTACTACTCTTGTAGTGATTTTCAGCTTTGGATTCTAGACATGAACCAATATTTTCGCGCTACATGTTTGTATTCTATCCAAATTTAAATTACTTTGAACTATATAGACTTCTTGTTGACTTCGAATGAATTAGTTCTGCTGTCTGCAAGCTTCTTGGCATGTTTAGTTAAACTGAATTAAGAAGTCATTATTCATTAGTGATTACGTAGCAGGTGTCTCAAGAGCGGACTCTTCCCCTGGGTTATGGAATACACTGGTTGTTTCTCCATTCTCTTATACAAGAATGATGTCCACTATATACATTTATTTGTATGATGACACAAGTACTCCAATGTCCGTGATGTCTTCTAGTAATTTAGATTCGTTTATGTCAAGATAATTCCTTCTCAAAGATGGGCGAAATCATTGTGACCACTTTGTGCTGGATTCTAAATGCATTGTTGGTGTCAAGAACAATTGGAATGTGCTTCATGAGAGGCAAGGATAGTAGGTTGGAGTTGGTAAGTATATGTTACTTATGCATTTATGTATTTAATCATCTTTCATGAACCGCTAATGCTTTCTTGCACATGATGTTGCTTGTGTGTTATTGATTTCTGCTCTGTTTCATTTTTCATCTTTTGCCAAAATTTGAGTAAATCAAATGCTTCCCAACTATAAAAAAACATATAAAATGAGGCAAATGTTTGTAGAATATCTAATCTATTTTGTTAGATTATATTTTGCTTCTAATATGATGCCTCATATAATTCTCCCTTGTTCTGTACCTTGAAAAAGAGGCACAAATTCATGTTACAAGTTCGAAAGATCTATAAGAACTTGGGGAGATGAGATGGCAAAATAAATTGGACTGATACACCAAGCAGAGACATCAAGGGTAAATCTATAATTTTTTACAGCTATAGATCTCTACCTAATTACAGGAAATCTGAGTATAGCTCATCCATCCTCGCATTCCAAGCTTGTCTTAATTTTCCCAAGTATGCATGCTATAACTGAGCTAACTGGCTCTACAGATTCCACAGTGAGCTTCGCTGCAGGAGAGCTATTTGTGACTACTTGTAAAGCTATTGTGAGCAAAGACCCTCCTTCGGAGCTTCTCTCTTCTTGCCTCGAAGTAAGCACAAGGGGTCTTGACTCTGATCCATCTGGAAGGATTGAAAATCCGGAAGGCAAAACCGCAACATTGCCAGAGTCACAGCCTGTCATGACTGACTGCAGGCCTGATATTTCCACAGGGGCATAGACCACCATAGATTCATAAGCATTTGTGCTGCTATCTTGGAGTACCCAGTTCATGTTTTCCTTAGACTTCATTGTCTGGCATCAAAGTGCAGAGGATAGTGTCACATATAAAGGCAAACAGTCAAATACAAAGTTCTGATATTACACAACACAGGAAATCAAAGTGACCTGAATGCTCACTGAATTGCCTCGATCCTGCCCTTTTGCTAAGTTTGCAATCAACTGTACTTGACCTCCGTTTGCCATTACATCCCACTGCATTGAAATGCAAGAATATTTCAGGAAGTTAATGGCGAAATTTTGGACAACAAATATTTTATAGAGTGTTGAACCTCATGCCGGCGTGAGTCATCTCTTAAGAAATCAAATAGAAGACTGGGAGATACAGGAAGCCACACAGATGAGACGGCACATAGGATAACTCCAATAGGTTCACAGGGATCATTCAAGTTTTTTCGCGATGATACTCTAACATCTTCACCTGTTTTAGTTGTGATCTTGGTCCATGAGTTGGAAGTGGATGCTCCTAGTGCTCGGCAGAAGCTCCATGTCATTCTCTGTGCTAACTTTAGTACGCTCTTCCTCCCAGCTAATGTGCCAACACCTACAAACAGATAATGATATTACTCTGCTTGCCATAACATATTCTTAAAAAATAATTAATTTTTGGGAGAAAATATCTAGTTTACCACTTGAATCCTTGGTAGGAACATTAGTAGCCATGAAGAAAACCAGGCGTTCGCATTGAAGTTGCAGAGTAGCCATCCAATGCTTTGCACCAAAGGCAAGGCCACTGTTAACTATGGTTCTGTACAGGGAATGGACTGCGCTCTTTTGGTATTCCACATGTTCTACCCAAGTAACCTAATAATCATATTCATATTAACACATTAGTTAAACTTGTATTTTGTACAATTAGTTTGGACTATCGAAATTCTTAAAACTAAGCATCTTTTGTATGTATGTGCACCTTGCAATGGCCATTTGATTTATCTTCTATGATGCATCCAGAAGGCCGTTTTCTACACTTTATTAGTGAAGCATCAATGTTATCTTCAAGATTGTCTATGGACACATCAACAATCGCCCACTGCTCCAGAGTCAGTTGTTTGCAACATCGCACAAAGTACACCTCTCTTGTAGGAACCATTGGTGTCAACATTTGCAACTCAGCATACATCTGCATAGGATGTACTCAAATAAGCTATATTGTCTAAAACAATGTCGTGAAATTTCGCACAGTAGATAATTACATGATTCTTCTTAAATTCTATGAGGCTTTATTCTTTTAACCTTAAAAGAATAGAATAATGAGTTGGTTTACATAATGGATAACAAGTTCCAAGTTTAGATAAGGGCCGATATGTTCAAATAGTTCATACAAGGATATAAGTTCCAATAAGGGCTAATACTTTCAAATAAGGATCACAAGTTCATATAGATAAAGCCTAGACCCCATATACCCATATTCAACCTCGTGATACTTAAATTCAGCAAGACACTACGACATCTAAGTCTGAATACAACAAGGTTCCAACTTAACAAAAAAAACGTATGTAAATTTACTGAAGTCAAAGAGTGTAATCATGAGCCATCTTTATATACTAAGTACTACCAACATTTGGTGCAACATGAAAGTATTGTTTGATTGATATATGCAACATTGCTTTAAGAGTAATTTCGCAAAAGCTATTTCATAAATTGGGAACAAAATGCTCTTGACTTATTCGTTAAAATCATCAATTATAGCTAAAATGTCAAATAAAAGGTCTTTTTAACATTGAGTTGGGTGGTAGTCATGAGAAAAAGGTTGAATCTGTTAAATTAGGGAGTATTCTATGTGAGAATGATTATGTTTTTGTTGCACCCTACTTTTAAAAAATAAATAAATAAATAAAAAAGAGCACCTGAAATTTCCTCAACTACACTAAGAAAGAGCCAAAAACTCGTACGTCCTAATCATTCTAATCATAATGCAATTTATTTTCAATGTTTAATAATGATGACTACTTACCAACTGAACTGCACCATCTCTATTGAGACCTTCACCATTGCAGATAACATCGACCAAAGCCGCCTTGGAAATCAAGCATGGGAATATCTCCTTCCATTGATTCTACGAAAAAATTCAAATTCATCAAGGATTAGTATCCTCTCCAATAACTCGATGGTCTAGTAACCAAGGATGATCCCCTTTTATCAATGAACACTAACAAAAGAAAACTATATTGCTTATAAATCCATGTCTAGAGAATTAATGCTAAGGGCATGCTTGGATTGGGGGAGATGTATTACTAGGGTAATAAAAGTTAAACTAAGCAAAATGAAAGTGAAAATAGGGAAGGAGGAGATAGTGATGGTGTGATTGTAAGGAAAATTATGTAGTAATGGTGTGGTATGGGGTGAAGAAAGAAGAACTAATACCCTCATTTTGGGGGTAATAGTTACACTAGGGGAAGGGTGGGTAACTATTACCCTCATTATGATAATTCCTCCATCTCTCTCTTTTCCTCATGGCACAATTACTTTATTTCATTTGTAAACACCATGCATCCTACAACAACACTTCTAATTACTTATGTTTTTTCAAGTTTGACTTTTTATTACCCCCTTAATTTATTATCCCCAATCCAAGCAAGGCCTAATAGTTATTATCTTACCACGTCCATGAAGCTTTGAACTAGTCTTGGAAGATCCACGAAAACAACTCTACTTTCCCTTGAGGCCTCTATTGATCTCCGAGGCTTTGCACCATCACTTGAGTTCTCGACGGAAAACTCTTTGATATACTCATCGTAGTTTAGTATTTCTCGGTCAGTCTCCACACTTTTCAACCACAATGGCTCCCCTAAAGTCGCCATCTTTTTTAGTTCTTCCAATGATTTATCCACAGCATCCATAATCTTTGACTTGTCAATGCCAAAGACCCCAGTGTACAAATCTAAGGAGCTTCTACTATCTTGATCATTTGAAGTCGAACATGAAGCTGTTGGAGAGACTCTTCCTGGTGGGTATTTGCCCACCACTGCTCGAAGTTTCTCAACCTACATAACATGAAAGAACAGATATAATTATGTTTGTTTTGTTTAAATTTTATAGTGAAAAGGTTTTAAATGAAATAAATATACCTCAGCTTTAAGTCTAGCATTTTCAAGCTTCAGCTGCTGCTGATCATCAGCTGTTGCAGTATTGTCTCTACTAGTGGTAGCAAAACCACAGTTGGGGCAAGATGATTTATGTGTGTTATCTCTCAAGGACTTGTTCTCCTCTTTTAGCTTTTCTAGCTCCGTTTTCAGTAAAGAATTTTCATGGCGCTCTTGTATAGCCTGATACATAAGAAGCATGCACGTACGTAAGATGCAGTGTAACGTTACATGTGTGTGCTACACGTTCCGTTCAAAATTAATAGTCATGTATATCAGAGGTTAATACAATGTAACAACTGTTTTAGATGGATGGATTATAGACATTAAGTAAAAATTACCTTAATCTGAGTTCGGCGATTTTGAAACCAGAATTTGACTTGCCTAGGATGGAGGCCTAATTGTTTGCTAAGTTGTTGCCTTTGCTTCTCATCTGGATGTGGTGACTCTTTAAACAACCTGCATTGTTGTTTGTGTATTAATTATATTGCAATATCAAATACAACTTCAAGTGATGCAACAAACTAATTGAAGTACCTAAAACATTATTTTTTAGCTAAATTAAGGGCCATTTGTATTAATTACTCCATGTCAGTTGCATACAAAATTGTAATTTGAATAAATAAACTGTTCTCATCTAATGATAAGTTGCAAGTGCAACCAATTTAAACCTTTCTAGAGTAAATTAGACCTTAAATAATTTAAATTGGAACACCTTATTTAAAGTAGAGTAGTATACGTAATATGATTCATATAATACTTGCATGTTATTGGGGAACAAAATCGAATGGGAGTTGAAGTTGATGATATAATAATCACGGATCTACAAGTCAATTTGATGATTGCAAATTTGTTGCATTAATTTAGGTTTTGGGAGGACCTATTCAATCATAAGAAGATAAAAAGATTTGTGGGACTGGACTAACTTGAGAGATCAAATTAGGAAGAAAAAAAAAATTGAGGTTTAATGAGTGCACTTAAAACAATATTATCATGATACACACTAAAAAGGTTGTCTGATCAATGGGACTTTTGTGCAAGATGAAATTAATAAGGGAAAAAAAAATTATAAAACTCGGAAAAATATATAGCCTTATTTGTGCTTACTCTAAAAATAATAATATATAAAATTTTATTTGACATAAATATTACGAGTACTTATTAAAGATATTACTCCCTCCATATCACTTTAATAGGCCAGATTTTATTTAGAACGTCTCAGATTAATAACGCTTTTCTCACAGTTATATAAATAAATCAATGGTAATTATGATAATTCAAACTAAATCCTTGAAAATGATCTAGAACTAAATGTGACCTATTCATAAGAGAGACCTAGTAATAAACAGTACAGTACTCAATTGATAATGATAGTTTGATAGATTAGACTCTAATTAAAAATAAATAATTAAACCTTTTGGTAGATTAGACATTCGACTGGTATATCTGCCCAATTATTTACTGTGGTACAGCAGAAATTTAATGTCAATAGTGTTTTCTTTATAAATAAAAATTGGGCCACAACCAAAGACTAGCCAAAGTCAGGTAAACTTTAAAATAAAATTAAGTAGAAACTGTAATCCGTATAATTCAAAATTATGACATACCCCGTATCAAGGAGTATTATCGTAATAATAATGTATACAAAAAAAATACGGAGTATATAGTATAATAACTTAAATTAATATAAAATATTGATTTATATATGCATGACAATATCATAAGTAAAACTCATAATTGACAGGATTAAGACCTTGTTGAATACACTAAATTTAAATTATTAAGAAAAATAAATTCGTATAAAGGTTAACAATTTAATTATCTTCCCGACTATGCTAAGCATTAAGAAAATTGATTCTTCCCCAACGATTAATTTCATTCCTGAATCATTTTGATGTGTACATAAAATGCAACATGACGATAAACAATTGTTAGAAATTTAGAATCTAGATTCCGAGGAAATAGCTTTTCACGAGTGGAAGAATAAAGAGCTACCAGACAACAAAGATAAATAAAAAGGGCAATAAACAAAGTGCAAGTAGAAATTTTCCAATAATCCAATTATAACTTCTACTTTTCTTTCTTTTTTGTACTTCAAAATTATGAAGTACTTGAGAAATTTCCTTGATCGTAGTTGCATAATAATTCAATTCAATACAATAACTAACTTTATAATTAAAGTTAGCTAGTAAATTACCTAATTAGTGTTTTAGCACGCAATTAGTAATTAGCTAGCTAGCTAGAGGCTAATCACTAGCTTAATCAAGAGTTAGAGACAAAGCATGAACGTGTACGTTTTTTAATTTGGACCACTTTTTTGTTCTTTTTTCATTCTATATTAAAAACACGTTTGTTAGACAGAGAAAAAAATTTAGATAAAGAAAATAATTACAAAATAAACACATAAAATTAGAAGAAAAAATAAATTACATATTGTTTCTTACATTAATTTAGGAGCATGTAGCTCCATTTCTTTCACGAAAAATATTATTAATAAATTGAAGGTAGTGAATTGAATAAAGGTTTATATATATATATATATATATATAGAAGCTATAAGAACATCGAATATACTTTGTATTATTATTGTAATAAGCTATTCATCTTGAAACAATGGTTTCCCAAAATTTAATGGTGTTAAACTATAAAAGTAAAGAGAATATTCTAATAGTGGAGTACTTTTGGAATAAATAAATTGGTTTAAATACAAGTTAATATGTTATTGAATTTAATGGTGTTAAACTGTTAAATTCACTACTTACTCCTACAATGCAATAAATTCCCAATAATTAGAAAACGTACCACAGAGTAGTACTTTAGAATAGAAAATGTACGATTGGAGTATTATACTGTATATGTATGTTATTATGAGTAATAATTAATGATTATAATGAAAAAGAGTACCGTATCAACTTATTTTCTTTCCTATGGTGTAGAGAGAAGAGTCATAACGACAAATAATATAAATGCGATTTAATTTCATATTTTGAGCAATACGCACATATATTTTAATTGATAAAAGGTAGTTAGCAATTACATGAAAAAAGTATCATGATTCATGTTATAATGGATTAACATTTTAATGTTTCTAACAAATGAACTTACTTCCAAAGGTTAGGTAAGGGGGAATAGCATTTAATTTATTGCCAAATAAAATTATTTTGAGGATATAAATTACGAAACGTGGGAAAAAATTAGGCATTACACCATTAAATTTGATGAGGAAAGGAAAAGGCTATTATGTGGGGTGGATATATATTACTCCGTAGTACTTCTTAATTACAGCCAACGAACAACATTAACTGCTTACTTTTTAGCAATTAATTGTGATTTGTAGCCCGGTAGAAAATGACGATAAAAGCTTTCATTATTATTACGAGTATTATTAATATTGAGTATTATTCTGATTAGTCATTTCTCAACAAGTATTCACGAGAGCAAGATCAAATCAAAGATCAAAAAAGGTAGATTTTGCAGATTTTATTTTCAACACGAACATAAAAACGTCACCGGCCATGCACAGACTTACCTTAATAAACTTAACGTCACTTTCACCCAACCCACCCCTCCTCGGAAAAGACGACAACGATGAACTTACTAATTAAGCGATACAACTCTCTCACAATCCTCCGTCTCAAAACACGAAGAAAAAGGAAATATTTTTTACTAGGTAAGGAGTATAACTTCTTTTTCATTAACTTAATAATTGTATTAGCGATACAACTCTCTCACAATCCTCCGTCTCAAAACACGAAGAAAAAGGAAATATTTTTTACTAGGTAAGGAGTATAACTTCTTTTTCATTAACTTAATAATTGTATTAGCGATACAACTCTCTCACAATCCTCCGTCTCAAAACACGAAGAAAAAGGAAATATTTTTTACTAGGTAAGGAGTATAACTTCTTTTTCATTAACTTAATAATTGTATTAGCGATACAACTCTCTCACAATCCTCCGTCTCAAAACACGAAGAAAAAGGAAATATTTTTTACTAGGTAAGGAGTATAACTTCTTTTTCATTAACTTAATAATTGTATTAGCGATACAACTCTCTCACAATCCTCCGTCTCAAAACACGAAGAAAAAGGAAATATTTTTTACTAGGTAAGGAGTATAACTTCTTTTTCATTAACTTAATAATTGTATTAGCGATACAACTCTCTCACAATCCTCCGTCTCAAAACACGAAGAAAAAGGAAATATTTTTTACTAGGTAAGGAGTATAACTTCTTTTTCATTAACTTAATAATTGTATTAGCGATACAACTCTCTCACAATCCTTATTAGAGAAGAGAATTTTTTATTAATCGACTTGATGAAGATATATTATATAGATGCAACTACTCGTTTTAATTTTTTGAGTGTATATATACTTCATATTTTTTTTATCGATTTGTAGCGTAAACGATTGCATTAGATATTTTATGGTTTTACCACCTTTCCTAGTCAACTCGACCTCACTATTTAACAATAAATAAAACAAATGAACAATAGTAGTGGTGGATCATAAATTAATTACCATAACAAAACAAAAAAAAAAAAAAAAAGAGTTTTAAGGAGAATGAACATACGCTTCCATTTCACGAATTTGTTCAGTAGTATGACGATGATATTTTTTCCTCTTCTTTTTCTTCCCTTTATCATCACCACCACCACCGTCTTCGTCATCATCGTCGTCATCATTAGCATTAATCATAAAATCATCCTCCGACCTCGAACGAGCAAGGCCGGAGTTCTCACTACTAATCTCAACCGTATCTTCACGCCTTCCGCCACCGCTCCCCTCTTCACCCTCCTCCACTTCCGTACTCTTTGCTTTAGCCGTTGTATCATCCGCGCCTCGAAAAATCCCAGCCTTGCATCAACGGAATAAATAATCAGTAAAAAAAAAAAAAAAAAAAAAAAAAAAAAAAAGGTGTTAAGTACAATTATAGTCATATAAGTAATAATTTGATAATTGAAATGAAAAGAAGAGAGGATTATTGTTATTATTACTAGGGAAAGAGAGAGAGCAGGGGAAGAGAAGAAGTCTTTAGGGAATTGGGAATTTGGGGGATTGTTAGACATATCGACGCCCATTTGCGACGAAAATGAAGAAATAATAAGCAATTTTGTAATTGAAGGTTTTATTTATTTATTTGGTGATGAAATTTGGAGAGAGAGAGAAGAGAGGACGTGCAGATGAAGGGGGGAAGTGGGGTCGGGTAGAGTTAAGGATATAAAAACAAAAAAAGGTTTTAGAGAGAGAGAGAGAGAGAGAATGTGGGCTGGTAGAGGTTGACTGGTAGCAATTGAGGGAGCAGCTTTGAGAATTGAGATGAGAGAGAAAATGATGAACAAGGGTTGGATTATGAGTTTATGTGCTTATTGCAATTTCTTTGGAGAGATTGGATTATGGTATGTGTGGTAATTTGTCAAACCATCAATTAGTTAATGCATATAGTCCATCCTACATTTGGGCGTGAGTCATTCGTAACGGGTTGGATTTAAAAAATGACGTGATTCAAGCACCATCTAGATATGATATAAGAGGTACACCGATGGATCATAATTTATAACCTCATTTTATATTTCTTTTGTTCTGTTTTTTATTTGACGTGTTTCCTTTATCACATTTGTCAATGCAAAATTTTAACGATCAATAACTTTAATTCTCCATAAGTAAAAAATTATAAAAGTTATATATTATGATAGTACTCGTCTCAAAAAGATCTCACATGAATACGTTTTTCCTTACATATTATTCACAAAAGACAATTAAATGAGGGGTGGTGAATAGTGTAAAAGTCAAAGCGAGTCAAGTAAAAAAAAAACAGAGGAAGTAGGATTTTTTATTTATGGATATTATTTCAAATTTTTATTTATGTTGAATTACATATATTTTTGGAAAAATATATATGCAACCCTAAGGGCTGCATATAAAAAGCTAAAAGTGAAAAGAATAGACAATAAATAAACATTTATTATACCGATTTACTCATTAATTGTCGATAAATTCCCAGCTTAATACTAAAAAAGAAAGTATATTAAATGCTTATAGGCAGCCCTATAACATTATCCTATATTTTTAACCAATTTGTAAAATATAGTAAAATAATTATAAAGGCCCTGCTGACACGACAATATTTATGAAATATTGGCACGTATCGGGCATGACATGACGTAACTTTTTTCTTAGCGTAACTTGTTTTTAACACAGAGTAAATTCGATACGCAGAGCTCCCCCCGGCGGTTGGGGGGTCGCGTCCTCTAAATTTGAATTGTTTTAGATGGCATATACAAGTCTCCGTGTTGTCAATAAGGCTTTCAGGGCAGTCATCCGGTGAGAGTCAAGCGACAATAATGGCGAAGTAAATAAACTCTATCGTCCAAACGACTCTGATTTTTATCCCCTTCTGGTAGTTCGATCACTTTGAAAGTTAGCTACATCATAGTTGACCCTGTTAAACTTACATGGCTTAAACTATAATACTAAGTATAATAATACACAAGCAAAAAAATAAAAAAAAATAAAAAAATAAAATAAAATAAAAATCAAACTAAATAAAATAAAATAATTTCTGATTACTGTTTCATGACGTTTGTATTATTATATGATTGTTTGTTTGTATATAAAAGTCATTTGTTTTAACTGTTTATGTTCTTCACTTCATATTCCTTAAAAATAAATAAAAATTGTTATTGAGTTCACTTCAATTTCCGGTTAATGTTGAGTTGTTGACTTGTGTCGGCTTGGTTTTGTGTCCATTATTTTAGTCTTTTAGATGAAGGAGTACCAATGGATTTGGACTACACTTGTTTAATATTTCAATATTTGACAATTGACACAATCATGTTCCGGGAAACCATAAAATCAAAGATGAAATAATTATATAAGTTGGTTAGTACTTAAAATAGTACTTCTTCCGATTTTTTTATAAGTTAGAGTTAATATTTTCGTTCGTTTTTTTTTATAAGTTAAAGTTCTATTTTTTGAAATTATTACAATTTAATAATATATCTTTACCCACTAATGTTCCCATTCTTTCTTACTTTATCATTTCTCACTCCTCCAATATTCCCCACTCCCTCTCACACCACTTTACTTTTTAATAAAATAATAACCTTATTTACCCCACTAACATCTTATTTTATTAAACCACTTAAAATTCCGCGCAATCCTATCTCTAGCCTATAAAAAAAACGGAGGGAGTAACATTAGTAAGGCTTTGTTCTTTTGAGCTTCTAGGCAGAGGTTTCAGCAAAGCAGAGCAGGTGTCAGCAGAGCACATTAGATTTCAGCAGAGAAAAGTAAAGCAGAGCAGATTATTAATTATTAATTATTAATTAATTAATAATTATTAATTATTAATAACTATTTATTAATGATTAATTATTAACAACTAATGATAATGATTAATTACTATTTATTAATTATTATTTATTACTTATTAATTACTCCCTCCGTCCCCAAAAGTTTGACCCTTTTGGCCTAATTTTAGTCCCAAAATGTTCATCCCATTTGCATTTTAATACCCACTAATTTGCAATAATATTTGTGCAAAATTAGCTTCCCCATGCAAATTTTGCTTTTTCTATATACTTTTATTACTTTCTCTCTCTACTTTTTTGCAATTCCAATATAAAATTCTCTTTTCAATATATTTTTCTTAACTTCCTCATACACTTGTACTTCCAATTTAACTTTCTTAATACCCACGAAATCAACCCAAAAGGGTCGTTCTTTCGGGGACGGAGGGAGTATTATTTATAACTTATTAATTATTATTTATTAATTTTATTATTTATTACTTATTATTTTTACTAATTATTATTTATTTAATATTAATTTTATCATATTATTTTATTTATTATTAATTTTATAATTAATAATTTTATTAATTATTAATATTATTACTAAGCTGAGTAGAGTAGACCAGGACAGGGCAGACCAAAGCAGAGTAGAGTAGAGTGGCAGACCAAAGCAGAGTAGGACAGGAGAGCAGAGCAGATTTCAGCAGAGTAGAGCAGCTTTAAAGAATAGGGCCTAAGAAAACATATTACGGAGTACCTTTGTTTTCATGATTTTTACTCATTTTTCGTATTTATTTATTTTCTTATTAACTTATTTCAACATTCTTTTTCTAATGAAATAAAGGAGTTATTAGCTCGAATAAAAGTCATTCAACATTTACAATCATATTGTACTAATAACATCGATATTAATCTACTTTTGAATAGTTTTTTGATATTTGTACATCGTTCTTTTTTTTTTTTTAAAGAAAAACAGTGGACTTTATCCATTCAAAGAAGACAAAATTGGTCGCAACACTCTGAAGTATGGCTTAGGTGCACTGAGCACCCTGAACTTTGCGTAATAGCCAAAACACCACCAACTATGATGTAAGGTGCGACGCGTGCCTTAAATGAAAAATTCCGGCCGCTTATTTCACCGAAGGAGGTGAATCCGAGCGTGGGAAGTGGATGGGAATTGTTCACCATTTCATTAAACTGTTTTGGAGAGTGAATATTCACTTCCTCCGGTGAAATAAGTGGCTGAAAATTTTCATTTAAGGCACGTGTCGCACCTAACACTATAGTTAGTGGTGTTTTAGCTACTACGCAAAGTTCAGAGTGCTCAGTACACCTAAGCCATACTTCAGGGTGTTTCGACCAATCTTGCGAAAGAAGTATATAAGCCATTGGCAAAGAACCATTGATGTAAAGTTGCAAAGATAATAAGTTTGATTGTTCTTCATAAAACAAATTAAATACGTACGACAACTTTTCCAAGTGTACAACCCTGTACCGATAGACACTTAGAAATTAGAGCTTAACATTGAATTGACAAATATACCAATGGCACCCCTTAGATTTAAGTATTTAACGATAGGATAAGGAATAATAGAGTATAATTAATGGGTTTAAGTAGTTGGTTGAAACCCAAAAATAGTTTTGTTTTGTTTTTTTTTTTTTTTTAATATTTTTTTTAATATTTTTTTAGGGATTAAGCATAATAATAGCCTAATAGGAGAGATTTTTAATGTAAATTAAACTACATTTAGTATAGATATATTTATAGTTTGTTAGTAGGAGAGAAAAATAATACTCCCTCCGTCCCTTATTTTCGTGCCTATTTTTAACATTTATTACTAACATAATAAAGAGAAATAGGCATGTAAATAAGGGACGGAGGGAGTACGTAGTAAAAAAAAAAAAAAAACTAGTTTAAACGGAGTTGATAAGAGAGAGGAAAAAAAAACAGCGGTGAATATTTTTCAAAATAAAAAAGTGTTGCAAATATTATAAAACGAACATAACAAAATTTTTATGGTTATTACAAAACAAGCAAGGATTATTTTTACTATTACTATTAAATTATTATTATTATTATTATTATCACTACTAGAAATAGGCCAATTTACGACGAACGAGTTCCGACGGACATGAAATCCGTCGGAAAGTTCCGATGGAATTAAAATCTGTCGGAAATTTACGACGGATTTCCTACGGAATACAAATCCGTTGGAATTTATGGGTTTTCCGACGGAATATTCCGTCGGAACAGTAATGTTTCGACGGAAATAAAATCCGTCGGAAATTTCCGAGGGATTATTCCGTCGGAACAATAATGTTTCGACGGAAATAAAATCCCTCGGAGATTTCCGACGGAATATTCCGTCGGAACATCTATTTTCCGACGGAAATTAAATCCGTCGGAAGTTTCAGACGGAATTTTCCGTCGGAAAATATTTACATAATAAAAAAAAAAACCTAACAAACACTAATAATAAAAAAAAAAAAAAAAAAAAAAACCCTAAAAAAAAACCCATAGCGCCTCTCTCCTCCCTCATTTCTCTTTCTCCTCTTTCATTTCTCTTTCTCTCTCCTGTGCGCCTCCCTCATTTCTCTTTCATTTCTCTTTCTCTCTCCTGTGCGCCTCCCTCATTTCTCTTTCATTTCTCTTTCTCTCTCCTGTGCGCCTCTCTTTCCTCTTCTCTTTCCCCTTCTTTTTCCATCAACGAAAATCACAAAAAAATCAATATTTTTAATTCGATCTTCCTCCTCTCATGCTAGTTCAAGCAACTTCGAGCGAAAATCTGAGCAACTCGAGCCAAATCTCAGCAATTCCAGCCAAAATTCGAGCCATCAACAACATGTTCGTTCGTCAGAGGAATTTTATTCGTTTTTGTAGATTTCCGATTTGTATTCTGTTTTTTGTATTATTAACTTGCATAGATCTGGTTTGAATATAATTTTCGTTCAGATTTGTATTCGTTCGTCTGCTCTAATTTGTATAAAATACGATTTTTTTTTTCAATTTTTTTTCGGATCTGTATTTTTTTTTCAATACTTTTCGTTTTTTTTTTTTAATTTTTGCCGTCTGGGTTAGCTAGGGTGGTTCTGTGGTGTGGGTTATGGTTAGGTAGGGTGGTGGTGGGTCTGGGTGGGTTAGTTGTGGGTCAGGGTTATTGGTGGG